CATATGTGATTGAGCAGCCAGGTGATCTCACCTGCATGCCCCGGTTCCTCCTCCCCTAGAAGAACAGAAAACACTTATTACTTTCCAGTGTCGAGTGGTTCGAGTCCTGCAGTCTTCCTCCTCCGAGCAGACATCATTTCTGGATCCTCCACTATGCGCCAAGAATGACGCATTCGGTAGTACAACTCCATCTCCTTGCTCCCATGCTTGGTGAGGGCATTGGCTAATTGCGCTTCAGAATGTACCCAACGTATGAGCAACCCGTGGTTCCTTTGGGCCTCCTTGATAGCCAACAGCTCGATGTTGGTGCGCTTTTCCGCGCCTTTTATGACGAGTACCTCAGTATACAACTTGTCATGCACGTTTCTCGAGTCTGTCACCAGGCATCCTGTGACCTTAGCAACAATTTCATCGGGATGTCGGAGGTTTACGCTACCAAAGCAAAGCTCACTCCATTGGTATCGGGCAAAGTACAATGCATCTTCACCGTTAACTGCTGCTTGCGCTTCAGCTGCTCCCGGTGACCTGCATGCCCTGTCGATCTTGTTGGAATGCCATGCTATAGGGGTAACCCTTCCCATTTCCCCGTGCAACATGCTGTCAGATCCCATTCCTATGAAGATCCCTTGGGTGGAACCTCCTTCACGGCGATTCTGGCTTGCCGCATCCACCCATCCAAAAAGCACCATAGTTTCCTCAGGAGAAAAAAGATGTATCAGCATCTGGTGGTCCTGGCGGGCCTTAGCATGGTATGCTAACAGGTTGGCCTTAATAATGGTATTCACGTTGCTCTCAGAGATCTCTGAAAGCAACAGACTCACCTCGGCAGATAAATGTGGAGCGACTTGTTGAGCGTGCCATGAGAGGCCTCCTAACAAGGCCCTCAGTTGCGTCTTCTCGCGCTCTCCTGTGGGAGCATCCTTTTCCTTACGCCTGCTTGAGGAGAGAGGGATTTCTTTGATTCCTTCTGAGTAGTTTGGCTGGCTCAACTGGAAACCCTCCGAAGTTCGCTCCACTTGCACGCCACATTGGACAAACTTATCCTGATCCCAATCACCCCACTTAAATCGCTGGCGAATCTTTTCCAACAGCGCTTGCCACTCTGTATCGTCGGCTCCTCCGCTGAAAAGGAAGTCATCAACATGGCCTGAAATCATGCCTCGTAGTTCTCCCTTGGGTCGCCAGACCCATGCACATGCATCTGCATGTGTCCGTTCCAGTCCAAGCTCGCACAAGTACTCATCCACTGTCCGGTACCATTCCAATGGTGCGTCAACGAGCCCGTAGCATGCCCGTTTGAGGCGCGTGATGGTGCCCTCTGGCAACCCCATAGCCTCGCAGATCTCTTTGCAGGGTATGCAGTACAACTGGTCCGGATATTCTCGGCCCTGAAGAAACGCTCCCGACACATCTCCTTTCTGCGCTGTCCAATTGCGGTTTGCGGATAATTGTAGCTGCATCTGACGCGTCTGGCGCATCATTACTGGAGCTGTAGTCGAGCGGAATTCGTATTTAGGGTCCTGGTACCCTAAAAGCACTGCACGCGCCTTTGCCTTTTGACCTCCAGAGTCAGTGGCCTTCCATGTAAGTATCCACCTCATGTTGATTGCTTGTTCTCGGCTCGGGCGAAGCTCATCCGGTAGCGTCTCGAAGGCCTTCGAGGCTATGAAGTTGCGCACTTCGATGTTCTTCGCTGCTCTAAATTCCTCCTTCTGTGACGGGGTCAGCTTCCTTTCACATACTTCTACGGCCCGTCGCTTCATGGCGCCCACAAAGTAGGCGGGAAGGTGATGTAAGGTCTTCTGGAGACCTCGCACGTTGGTGGGGAGCTCTATCTCCACTGATACAGCTGCGCTCTCATCATTCCAGTAGGCCGCCGGCTGGGCCTCCCAGTCTTTCTCAGGCACTGATGCCCACCATGCTTCCGCCGCTTGGAAGCCACTGCCTTGTCTGTTCCCTAACCGCGCTCGGCTCGAGCTGGCTGAAGGTGAAGAGGTGCCCTGATCCTCGTCCTCCATGGTGGGTTCCACTGCTTCCGGTTGTGGTCGCCTCCCCCGGAAGCGTACTCTCGCCGGTGGCTCTTCCATGTCTTGGGCACCATGCCACTCCTGGGGCGTGGGTTGCTGCTGCGAGTAGTCCTTCACTTGGTTGCCGCCGATCTCTGCGGCGACTCTCTGAAAGGTCCACGGAGTCCGGTCTTCGGGCTTGGCAAGCATCTCCAGCAGTTCCTCTCGTTCCGATGCCCGTCGTAGCTGCTCTGGGCAACACTTGATGAGGCTTCTGCCTCTGACCAGCCACACTGAGCTACCGGGCACCAGATGCCCCGTCTCATCCTTTTTCTTTTCTGTGGCCAGAATCCTGGCCGGTCCTATGAACTGACCGTGCTTGTCTCCCGGCTGCCGGCGTCCCTGTTGTCCCGTCTGGGCTCTCCATAGGTACACTAACTCACCCGCTGTCCCCTGCATGGATCCTCTGGCGTGCCGTCCAAGACGCATGCGCTCCCTCAGCGGCAGCTCTCAATTGGGCCGCTCGCTCAACTTCGCCTTGGGGGTCTTCCCACAACATGGAGACTGGAGCCTGATTGATCACTTCCATCACCGGTCCTACTTGATCAGGGTTATGACCTAAGGTTCGAACAACGTCCCGATGATTGAAAGTCATGACAGCCACTGCCAGGGCTTCCTCGGAGCTCAAACCCTGCTCGCTCAAGCAGGTTTTTGTCATAACCTCCTTCAATCCCTGAACAGCTTGCTCACAGATCCCCAGTTTCCAATGCGCTTCCCCTGGGATGATGTCCAAAAGAATCTGATGACGATCGCAGAAACTTTCCACATGTTGGCTTCGGAAGGAGCCTGCCGGATCTAGTCTGAGGACTTGGGGCTTGCCGAAATACTGCATCCAACCCTCCTGAAGATAATTCAAACATGCCATCGCTGTGGGTTGCTGTTTGGACCCTGTGGTCAGAATTCTGGCCGCACGAAACCTGGAACATTCATCCACAATCACCATGAACTGCACCTTCTCATGGGTTTGGGGGTGCACCCAATGTCCTACGTCCGCAGAAACCGTACTCCATCGAGGGGGAAGAGGTTCTAAAGTGGACATATGCCTGTGACCTACCCGCCTCTTTTCCATGCACACTGAACACTGAAACTCCTTGGCCAAAGCAAGAACCCTGCTGGAGGCACCGCGTCGGCGCAATGCGTCGACTAAGTGCCGGGTACTCCCGTGCCCAGTGGCTGCATGAAGCAGGTACAGTTGCTTCTTGATTCGTTCATCATGACGTTTGTCTACTCCTACGAACATGCGTCTCCATTGGCCCTGTCTCTGAATGACCATCCCTTGTTCCAAACTTTCCGAAGGACCCTCAGGACATCCAAAACCAAGCTTTCGGAGTTCCCTCAACACATCACCTTCAACCACCCTACCCCCACGGCTCACGTACGCGGCTACAGTAAAGTCACCTGTCCACTCACATGTACCATGCCAGGCCTTCGGGGAGAAAGTGACGCACTGGCCCTGCGTTGGTAGCTTGCGTCCCTGAAGGACCGTTCCATCCAACGCCTCCTGGGCACAGGCGTCGGGGCCCGTGTATCCCGGTGGGGTTTCCACCCAGATTTCTCCTCCTTTGTACTGCCCTACGCCTATCACGTAGTTGTGATGTTGGGAGTCATTGTGGTTGTCACGATGGATGGGCATCTTGTTGTTAGCACTTAACACGAAGGAAGTCCACTTGGCTCCTTTGGGGAGGTTTCTGGCTAACCACTGATTGATGTACGCCGTCACTCGAGGAAACTCCATTGTCTTGCTGGTAATGCCATAATTCCTACCGTGTGAATACATTCCAAACGCACCTTCCTATTCTCATCTGAGCCATGGTTTCAAGGAGTGGTTGCGCATCATGAATGGCATACTTCTTGTGCTTAAGGAGTTGCTCGGCCAAGTCCTCCACCTGTTGCCTTTCGCCTTGGGCATACATACCTTGCTCGGGAGGGTCTTCCTCTTTGGGGCCTGTGGTACCTGAGGTGCTTAGGGACTCTGGGCCTTGATGTTCAGTCTGCTCACGTCCTTGCGCACAGTTGCTACACGTCATGTGAAAGTCCCTAATCCTACTCTCCACACAAGTACACACTTCTCCACTCCCAAAACTCTCAGGCAATCCACTACTTCCATCACACTCTTGCATTAAGGTGCTATAGCTGAACTCCTGACACAAGGTTTCTGCCGCCCTGCGTGCATAGGCTTCTGTGTAGGCGGCAAAGCCTGGGTTGCGGTGACCTTCGCACCGTCCATGTTGGTAATTCTTTCCACAGCGACACGGAAGATCCAACTGTTCCACCAACCGCTTATGACTGGACATGATCTTCCAACCCCACTGAAGCAATCTTCCCTCGCCTTTTTCCCGAAGTCCAACTTGACACCCCTTAGTCCCTGAAAGCCCTAAGTTGTACCGTCGTTGAAGACTCTGGAACAGTGGTAGTCGCCAAGCTTCACAGCGCTCGGGAAGGCTAAGAGTGCAATGTATGCCTAGTTGAATGCAGGTGTGAAAAACACAACACGCTCCCACATAGGCCTTCATCATGGTGTCCCTACGAAAGTCCTGGAGCCTTTCCTTCTGAGCTTCTGTGCGCTGGTTTACAGCCTGCATAGGAGAAAAAGCCGCGCCTGGGAGGTTGATCCACACATTCTGGGGCCTTTCAAGTCTGATCCGGTCCATCACAAACTTCAAACCCTCCGTAGTACTAAGATCACCTGAATTCCACAGAGCGCACCTTACTGCCTTACTGCAGCTTGAGTGCTACCTGACACAGTCTGGACCGCTTGAGCTAGCGAGCTATCGGGTTTGCAGGCAACCTCCATCAGAACCGGGCACGCACCTCCGAGCCCACCATCGGCCAAGAGCTGTTGCATCAACCCCGGGACTAAGCTGTGGGCCTGCTGTTCTAAGTGTCGCACCTCATCATGACTAAGATCCCGACTATTAGAACCTGTAGCCGATGGGCTCGGGGAGGTACTTATACTGTGGCTCATACGGTGCCGTAGTCCCGCATCGCTCACTTGTCCTTCTTCCGGGGTCGCTCGTCCGTGACCGGTCCCATCTGGCGAAGCTCCTTGAGCTCCTCCTGCATGCCCTTCATCGTCTCCATCATTGTAGCCATGAGTTCCATCTGCTCCGCGGGGTACGGTGCTCCCGCGCTGGATGTCGCCATGGTCGTCTGGGGTTGTTCGTACTCGGGCTCCACCAAGTACCCGCCCTTGATCTTCAACCGCAAGCGCTGTGGGTCTCTTGTTGTCGGTGGCCGTTGGATCGGTTCGCTCACCTCCGTAGCTCGGAGTATAGCCACTCGGCCAGTCTCTTCAACCGCGGATTCGTCTCCTCGGTCTCCTTGTAGGTGGTCTTGACCCAGTCCACATAGCGAGGGAACTGCTGCACCAGCTCCCCGTAGGTCAGATTGGAGTGCCGTCCGAACCCGACAACATCCCGAGAACAGCTTTCCACGTTGAAGTAGAGGTGGTCGAGGGCTTTGGCCTCGAGTTGCCACATCGTCCCGTTCTCGGACACCGGTAGTCCGAGTACTTTGGTGGACACATACTCCTGCAGGTCGGCCTTCTTGCGCTTGTTGCGGTTGAGCTGCTTGATCTGTTGTTGCAGGGGTGTGTCCTTGCGGCGTCCTGGAGTGCTTGCCCACTCCTCGTCCTGCTCGTCCATCAGCTCTTGTAGCCGGTGTCGTAGCTGGGAGTTGTTCCAGCGGCGGGAATCTCGCCAAACGTCTGTATGGCCTCGCGCAGCTGCTTGGTGTTCATCCTCTCCATGGCCGGCGTGAGGAAGGAGAGGGCCTGGAGGATCGTCACTATGTTCGCTTGGATCACGACACTGCTGCGCATTCGGTGGCGAGTCACTCGGTGCGGACTTGGCTTCTCGGTCTACAAACACATCTGCTGACTCTGCCTGCTGCAAGGACTCCTGTGCACCCACTGTCTCACTGGAAAATCTAACCTTCTTCTCAAACCCCGAACCAAACACACCCTTACCCCTTCGTTCTAGAGGAGGCTCTACGGGCGCTTTGGCACAATTACCCCTTCCGGAAAAAATTCGTTCCCCCTGTTTCCCATCCGGATTGGTCAACAAGGGGTCATCTCCCTACTCGTCCGCTGCTATGTACGAGCTCAGAGATGGGACGGCCTGTTTGGCCGTAGTGGCATCATGGAAAAGATCATCGGTCAAATTGACGAGCTGGTGGCCTGTGGTGGACCTCTGAAGGCGGATCAACTTGGTGGGGTCCAGCTTGCGAAGCACGAGGATGTCCTCCTCGAAGTCAATGATCGCGCCGAGGGCTCGGAGTGTGGCCACGGAGACCAGAATCGGCCCGGAGCCCTTGTTGAGCGCATGTACTCGAAGCATCCCTTCGTGGCCTCCTGCTTGAAAGCCCAAATCGATGGTCGACACGCACTTCGCCTCGCCCGAGTCCGCGAAGCCAAAGACTGGACGATTCCGTAGGTCCACATTCTTCACACCTGTGGTCCCGTGCTTACCTTCGTTGACTTTCATCAACGCCTCGATGGCCTGGACGGAGCCAAGGGTGCGCGTCGCACCTCCGTCGATGACACCCCACCCGGCCTGAGTGGCCTCGGTAGTCGTGGGAGCTCGTCCTGGATTGCCTTGGTCCCCCAACATTGCCTGTTCAACGTAGCAGACGAAGGGCGCAGACTGGTCCTCCGCGACGTGGGCCTTCTCCTGCTGGCAATTCGCTGCTCGGTGTCCGACCTGGCCACATTTGAGGCGCGTCATCTTCGAGTCATCCCTCGGTCGCGAGCTGGCTTGGGCACTGCTTCCGCCTGGTTGGTAGTACTTCCGGGACATGCGTACCTGGTGCTGCCGTTGGCGCGCATCCTTGAGCGTGCGCTTCGCATTCTGCAAAGTAGCCCAAGCTTGGCGTGCCTCGTCCTCGGCTTCAGCGACGAGGGCTGCTCCTTCGTCGTTCAGGTCGCCGTCGTGCTCGCCCGCCTCGCCTGTCTGCCAGGCCTCCTGGTTCTCGAAGTCCTCGTTTTTTCCCGGTCTCCCCGAGGAAGCCGGAACCCTTATGGTGTTGATCCCGCTTCTTGAGGTCTATCTCGGTCCACTGGTTCCTCAATTCCTGTGCCACTTTGACCACACTGAATTCCCCCTTCAGTGCAGTAAAAATCATGTTCCGTTCACCTGTGCTGAGGTTGGCATCCTGGAGCAAATACCACGCTTGCACCCATTCGGGTAACAGCTCGGTTGGCCCGGCGACGGGGGAACCCCACGCTCCTTGCGAGGAGCCTGGCTCACCATAGCCTCGGCTGTCTGCCCAGCTCCACGATGATGTTGACCACCAGGTGGGATAGGAATTGCCCGACCAGTAGCTTCCAGCTCCACCCCAACCTCCGTAGGATCCTTGGCTGTCCCATGTTGAGGGCTGTGTGTTTTCTGTTGAAGCATCTGGCTCATCATCATCCCCATCCACCGCCGTGGTTGTAGCATCCGAGGTCCAGCTGCTGCGGCGTCGCCCTGAGTACCCGGCTTCGCGGGACACTCGTGGCGCCGCGGCCTCCTGATGAGGCTTGACCCTGTTGAGTGCTTGCTGTGCTCTCATGTAAATTTCACTCTTCCGGGTCACATACTCATTGATTGACTCACCATTCCGACGCCGTGAATGCCGGAAATATTGATTGAGGTATTCTGTCAACTCTGTAACCTGAGGTCTCCCGAGGCAGTCACGGAGGTGCCTCATGAGGGCCCTGCGTAGGATACCCAGTTCGCAGACTTTCCCACAACCATGCGCTTGGCTGAGCCCTGAAGCTCAGCCACCAGTCGTGGGCCGGCCATATACCTCTTGTGGTAAGCAATCCCCTCCTGCCAGAGCAGCGCCTCCTCCTCATACCTCTGAAAGGTGGCGCTGTTTCCGTCCCACTGTGGAACGCCATCTTTTGACCGTGCTGGTCCGTCTCCTCCTCCACTTGTAGACATCAAGGGCCTCGCGCTTGATGGTCACTTTGGTCCCTGGATCGCGGCTCTAAGGTGTTGGAGCTCTAGGCTCCGCTACCATGCAAGTGGTAGAGGCCACTTGCACGGTCGTGTCGTTCGCTCAAGCGGGAAACTGACAGTCAGCTGGAGTAAGCAGGGCTTCGGATGGCTCGGTCTACGCAGAGCTTACAAGGGCCCCTCAGCACTCACTTTTGTGCTTCGTCTGTCAAAGATGTCAAAGCTGCGGTGTCGCATATGTGATTGAGCAGCCAGGTGATTTCACCTGCAAACCCTAAACCTTAAACCCTATAAACCCTAAACCCCATAAGCCCCAAGCCCTAAACCCGAAACCTCATAAGCCTTAAACCCTAAACCCTAAACCCCATAAACCCTGTAAACCCTAAACCCGAAACCCTAAACCCGTAAAACCCTAAACCCCATATAAGCCCTAAGCCCTGTAAACCCGATAAACCCTAAATCCTAAACCCCATATATACACCCTAAACCCCATAAGCCCCAAACGCGAGGAAGGCTCGGCCTGGCAGATGAGCGCGCACGCCCTCGGCTCCTTTGCGGCCTCGCGCTCCTCGCCGGGGCCGCTGGCACCTCGGCTCCCCAGTAGCCCCGTTTAAGAAACATAAATATATACATACGGATCTAGGCATACTCTATATATATATATACATATAAATGCGGGTACCCGTATTAAAATAAATTAATAAAAAATAACTAAAAAATATATATGTATATATATATATATAGATAAATATGTACATATATATATATATATCTATAAATACGGGTACCCTTTTTCCTACTATTTGGGTTTAGTCAGGGCGAAAGGGTACTTCTGGGGAACCTAGGCACTCAGCGCCGTGGCCACCGCCTGCGGCAGTGCCGGGAAGTGGAAGGCAGGGTGTCTCGTTGAAGCTTTGGGATTTTTCGGTGTTCTTTAAACAAGATTTAGGGGGCTGTGCAATTTCTGCAAGACTTCGGTCGTAGGGTTTGGAGTTTCGGGTTTTGAATTTCGACTTTCGGCCACCTATAAGCTACATCCTGAACCCCGAAACTCCAAACCCCTAAGCCCCAAACTCCTCCAAACCCCTAAACCCCTGAACCCCTAAGTCCCTGATCCCAAATCCTGAACCCTAAACTCCGAAACCCCTTGAACCCCGACAGCTGGAAGTTTCGGGCTTTCGGAGGACATGTTGGCCTTGAGCACCTGGCTTGGCACCCTTGCTGGCAGGGGACTCGGAAGCTCAGAGTCAGTCAAAGCACCAGGACGGGAGGGTGTACAGCACTGAAACATGGCACAGTATAGCAGATACTATACCATAAACTAGCATACTCTCTCTCTCTCTCTCTCTCTCTCTCTCTTTCTCTCGAAGGTACTGAAAGAAAGCACCCTGCAGCCCAATGTACGCGACGCTCAGCGGCTCAGGTGGGAGCAGGTCGGCGTCCTCGGAAGGCTTCGGAGCGCTGGCGGGCAGCTGAGTGAAGACTTCGCTTTCAGTCTGCTGCTTTTCCTTGCGATGTGCATTGTTCTAGTTTGGTGTACCATGATAGTAATATATATATATATATATGTATGTATATGTATGTATATATATATATATATGGTATATACACATACATGCAAATACTGCCATGGTATACCAACTAAGACTGTGGTAACTGTAAAACGGTATATTAGCTTGCCTTGGAGAGTAAAGTGCAAATCGGTCTTTATGATCCTTTCGCCGGTGATGTTGCCATTACGGCTTCCATTTCAGGGTTTTGTGGTGATGCCGGATAGACCTTTTCGTCCGCTCATGGAGGCTCCACGGGTCTTATCGGGGCTTCTGCAAGCTACAAGGGTTCCTAGAAGGGTTTAAGCATGGTTTTAAGGCTGTCAGACGGCTTAAGGTTGTGGAATGTTTCAAAAAAGTTCCGTAAGGTTTTGTAAAAAGGTCTAGACAGGTTTGCACGAAAACCTTAAACCTTCCGTATGCCCTTCTCAAATTGTGATCTTGATCAAACCGTTCTAAAGACACTAAACCTCCATCCAAAGCCTTCTAAAGACCTTAAGCCTCTATCAAACCCTTCTAAAACCTTGAATCTCTGCCAAAACCCTTCTGGACCCCAGTCAAACCCTTCCAGAGACTTTAGGCCTCTGTCAGAACCCTTCTCAAGACCTTAAACCTCTACCCAACCCTTCTAAAGACCCCCAAACCTCTATCATTCCCCTCTAACCACTTGAAACCCCGATCCAAACCCTTCTGAAGCCCTAAATCCTAAACCCTGAACCCTCAACCTTAACCCTAAACCCCCGGAGCTGTTTTTTTCGTGGTTCGGGGCGCCCGAGGCCATCGGACTCCGAGGCTCCGGGCGCTGGCGCTGGGCGCTCCTCTGTCTGAGGGAGCTCCAAGGCTGGCTCTAAGGGTTTCGGTTTCAGGGTTGAGGGTTGAGGGTTTAGGGTTTAGGGTTTAGGGTTTAGGGTTTAGGGTTCAGGGTTCAGGGTTTAGGGTTTAGGGGTTATCCTTTACTCTAAACCCTAAACTTGAGAGGCGTCCTCGGAGGGCTTCCTTTGAGGCTACCTCAAAGGGTTTCCTTCGAGGGCTTCCTTCAAGGCTTCCTGTAAGGGTTTCCTTGGAGGATTCGGATTCCTTTAAAGGGTCCTTTAAGGGTTTCCTTTAAGGCTTCCTTTTTTTTCAGGGGTTGCCGAGGCTTTCCAGAGAGCTCCATACCAGACCCGTCAATTAAGGAATGTTCCTAGAATTGTTGAGGGCTTACTTCACATCTTGCTTATTCGGCTGAACGGCTTTTGTTGCGGTCATCGCAGGTTTTTCTTGTGAAAGTGGTCATCTTGGGTTCGGAAAGCAGTTATGTTCTTCTGCTTCTCCTCATGGCTGTAACAAGGCACGAGTAGTCTTCTCGTTTGCGATGATCGCGGTTGATTCTGGTGCATACTTCCAGGATGTAAACAGTTTGCTGCACTCGTTTGTTGTTGTGCAAAGTTGTAGCAATATGAGAAGCATGGTCACTACAAAAACAGAGGTAGTAGTAAGACCAAGAGGAGCTGGAGGTAGAGTATTAGTAACGTCAATGGAGATAGTGATAGTCGTATGTGGTGCTTCTGAACAACACCGCCAGCACGAAACTCATGGCCCTCGAGCCTAGTTCCTGAAACGCTCCCCAGCCCATTGAAACCACGCCAGAGCTGGGCCTCTCGGTGCCGTTGCTGGCAACATGCAACGCCGCCGCAGCCTGTGCGGAAAACGGTGGTCAAGGGCTCAGATTTTAGGGTTGAAGGGCTTACTTAGGGCCCGGGCAGTGGGAGTTGTCCTTGCTTTGTGGCCACTTGAGTTTCGCCAGTGTGTGTTCCAGGCTCTCATTCGCAGTTGTGGCTGGCGGCGTACTGTTACAGCACACAACTTTTAGGTGCTTCGTTGCGGAAGTGTTCGATTTTGTAGTTGTTGCTGAATTTCTTCTCGACATTTTGCCGTTGTTTTGGTCCCCGAGGCTTCTGCAAGCTGCTTCAGCTAGCACACCAAGCGCAAGCTCGTGCCACAGAGGCTTGCGAGATTGCTAGCACAGGTCGGAATGTGGGTATGCCATTGCAGGTCAACCAGAGCGTCCTTCCATACATCTCGCTTCAGGGTATGGTATGGCAGTAGCAATATGGCTAGTAGGTCTGGTACGCGTATGACGAGGAGGATGAGGATGAGGAGGACGAGGAGGATGAGGAGGGGGAGGACGAGGAGGAGGAGGAGGAGTGGTGGTAGTCGTCGTCGTTGTGGGCTTCTGCTCGCCTTTGCAATCTGCAGGTGGTGCAGGAGTTCGCCGGCGAAGACTCGTTCGCGCTTCTGCGCTGATCGGAGCAAAAGCCCAGAAGCCCTGACCCCGCCCACACATAAAATCTAATATAGTATAGTATGATCCTAATGTAAGGTACTATCATATAATACAGTATAAGGTACTATATTGTCATATAATGCAATAAGATAGAAAGTAATCAATACAATATAATATAGTATAGTATAATATAGTATAATTTCATATCATATAACAGAATACAAAATACTATAATACAATACAGTATTATACAGTATAATTCAATAAAACATAGTATAGTATAATGCGTAATATAACAGCCTTTAATATACTATAGTACAGTATAAGATTTAATTCAACATAACACACTATACCATTAACAAAAACACGGTATAACGCACTATATATACTCTAAAAAAAGGGATGGTTTCATCTAAGAGCAAGGTCTATCCAAGCCCCTGGCCTCGGTTCCGGGAAGCCTTGCAGCATCCAAGAGCAGCCTCAGAGACGTAAGGGTTTAGGGTTTAGGGCTTAGGGTTTAGGGTTTAGGGAAGCCCCAAAACTCTCAAAGCCGAGCCCAAGCTTAAAGCGCGCTCTGAGGTGGGGATCGAGCAGCCGCAAGGTTCTCCGAGGCGAGACAGGACATCTCGCCTCGAGAGTGGGTGTGTTTTTGGCAGTGTTTGCATTAAACGAATTTAGACTTCGGGGTTGAGGAACGTGTTTGCGCCGGGGCCGAGCACCTTGATGCTTCGCAGCCTCAGCATGTAGGAGTTGAGTCCCAAGCCACTGCAAGCTTTGGTTGCGGCAACATTGGTTGGCAAGTCGTGCACGATTTGTCGACATCATTTGCTGTTGATGCTATATTACTATTCTCGTCATAAGTACTCGTACGAAGCGTTTGCCAAACTTGTCCTTCATGGCTCGCAACAGGTGCCTTCGTCGCACGCGGTGCCTTCCGTCTGCGGTGCAGTGAGTGCCGTCGCTCGCCGGCACCCCTATAGTGCAACAGAACCCGACGGTTTTTAAGAGAAGACCATGATGTGTTTCTCAGTAGCATACACAACAGTATCGTATAATGATGAACCATATGTGGGAGGAAAACAGTAGACTGCTGGTAGACATTGGTGCAGCATACAAGAGTATGTTCTTAGGTCCAAGTTCATATGGTAACATGCGACTTTATGATGGCATGATCGTCTCGCAGTAGGGTCGCGTGGCCAGATATTGAACCACACATGAAGCCCCTTATGTTATAGTGCTGCTATGAAGCGGCAGCATCGTGATGTCATCGTATCACAGTGTTAAACTACCGAGACAGCGGACTGGAAGCGCACAGCACATTCGTGGCAGGGAGCGTACTGTATAATGCACATACGTAGAAAGACACATACTATCTTTACACACATATATATATATATATACATACATACATACACAAATAGGTAGATCGATAGACAGATAAGTCAAGATGAAAAAGGTAAGATAGCCAGGTACTTCAGAAGTGCGATGGATTATTGTTAGAACAGTTATTTGTGTGCACTTTTGTTTTCGCTCCTTAAGTGCGCACATCGTAGGAGTTGCACAATTGCGACAAATACAACATTGAAGCATCACAACCTACACGACAGTCGTCAAGATCTTACCATTGATATACCCGGGCCGTAAACTATAACACCCTAAACGGTAAATCCCTAGACCCCAAACCTCTTCTGGTCAGGAGGGAGACGGATGCGCTCGGCGACACTCCGCTGTTCTACCTGAGGCACTTCGACGTTTGGTGGTTAGGGGTTGGTGTTCAGGGCTTAGAGACGGTTTGGAGTTTAGGGCTTCGGGTTTAGGCTTTAGATCCAGAGACTCCAACCTCATACAAAGTCAGTTTCCCTTACTGCAAACCACCATCTTTGTTTGAGGACGTGTTCCTCGGTTAATCGTACGAGTCGAAAAAATTTCTTTACTAAATTCTGTTCTTACAGTCGTTCTACGATTGCACAACAAGAGGCACCGCAAGCTTTATTCAAAGTACTCAGCCCGCTATAAGGCGCCGAAATCTTTTCAAAGCCTTGCCATATTGAATCGTATAAGACCTCTGGGTGGTTGTCAAAATTATGGTCCCTTTTTGGGTCCTTATCATTATACGTCACCTATTCTTTAGGGTACCCCAAAAGGGACCATAATTTTGACAACTACCCATATAGAACCCTACATTCAACCCTACAAGACCTACAGAACTAAACCCTAAACCCTAAGCCCTAAACCCTAAGCCCTAAACCCTAAACCCTAGAAGCTCTTGTAGAAATCCGGGGTTCTGGAGCCCTTGGCCAGGTTGCTGCGCGGCTGGAGCCGGAGCCCTTGGAGCAGTCCCAGCCGGAGCCCGACTATCCGAAGTTCTTGGATGAGGCCTGTGGAGTACCGGGGGAGAGCTTTGGGTTTCGGATTTTGGGTTTAGGGTTTAGGGTTTAGGGAGCTTAGGGTCTGTCATGTGGGTCCATAGGGTCGCTGGTGCTGGGTGTAGAATTCAAGGTTTAGGGTGTAAAGCTTCGGGTTTGGGGTTGCAGATGCTGCCAGATGCTAACAAGGACAAGAACCACGGTAGTCAGAACAAACAGTAGCAGCAGCGAGGACAGCTAAGGCCGTAGTACGCACAGTAGAACAGATAGTTGTATATACTTGATACCGACACATACCTTTAGATATTTTCATATGCTCTTATCCAAATATGACCAAATGACTCCAAGTTGTTTGCTGAATTCAGCTTCCCTTGTATTCTACTTTCAGGAGGTATTCATTAGCCGATGATAGGCGTCTCAATAATTAGCGAAATTCTCGTGGTACCGTGGTACAGTCCCTTCCCCACTACACGGTAAGATTACACCCTACAAAGCACCTAAGAGACCCTAAACCCTAAACCCAAAACCCTAAACCTTGCACCCTAAGCCCTAAACCCTAAGCCCTAAACCCTAAATCCTAAACCCTAAACCACAAACCCTAAACCCCAAACCCCATCGCAAGCCAAAAACGAAACCTTCCCTCAGGGCCAGGAAGCCTCGGCCTCTTCGGCTGCTCGGGAGCCGGAGGTTTCGGAGAAGTCCCAGCCGGAGCCCGGCTACAACCCGAAGTTCCTGGATGAGGCCAGGGTCCAGGGTCCAGGGTTTAGGGTTTAGGGTTCAGGGTAGAGGGTATAGGGTTTAGGGTTTAGGGTTTAGGGTCCAGGGTTTAGGGCATAAGGGTTTGGAGTTTAGAGGTTCAATCGGCTCATAGGGCTTAGGCTTTCAGGCTCGGCTGTGGACTAGTGCTTGGAGATATTACACCTTTGTGAAACCCTCTGAAAGCCTTATCAAGCCCTAACCGCTGAACCCTAAAGCCCGAAGCCCTCAACCCTAAACCCGAAGCCC